GGGCCATCACTAAACAACATGGTGAGCCTGGAACATCTAATCTCTTTCTGAGCTGTTTCTTCATCTGTGGAATGAGAGGCAGGTGAAGTAAGTCCCTCCTGGTTCTAGCACTGACCTATGGGTGGACTGGCTTTCCCCAGCGTTTCACTACTACCTTGCTCACCCCAACCCCACCCCAGTCAGCCAGGGGCCTGGCTTCCTCCCTCCCCAGGCAGGCCCTGATGTGCCCATTATCAGCTGTGCAACAGTGGGCAAGACACTTAACATCTGAGCCTCAATTTCCTTATGGGTGAAATGGGGGTGATGACACCAGTGTGTGGAAGGAGATTAGCTTGCCAGAAGTGTAGTGGGATCAGCAGCATGGGGGGAGGGACGGAAGGAGAAGCCGGATGGGGCAGGGGGAAGGGGGGCTGTGATAGGTTGGGACCTGAGCATCTTTGGAGAGGTTGTTCTGAGTTGGGGCAAAAAGATGAGCCTTTATCCCCTGCTTTGACTAATCATTGGCTGCAGCTGCCCACGGGAGGGCAAGGCCTTGGGCCAGGCGCACCTGCCTCTTCAGTGAGGGAAGGTACTCACCTGTGGCCTGGCAGCTCCCCACCTCCAGCAGAGGAAGGAGTGTCCCCGCCTGCAGGGGGTCCAGGCAGTGTGCCATGGGTCCCCCTACACACTGCAGACAATCCCGGGAGGCTGGTGTGAGGGTTCTTTGGAACAAGGTCATGGAGCCTGGTGGGCGCCAGCTCCCGGGAAACAGCAGTCACTCTGCTGAAAAGGCCTTGGGGGCCCTCCTTTCCTGCCTTCACACCCAGACACCTCCCAAGTGCTGCCTCTTCTTTCTAAAAAAATTTAATTAATTAATTAATTAATTTTTTATTAATTAAAGTTTATTGGGGTGACAATTGTTAGTACCACCCCTTAATTCTTAAGTATCTATCCTTGGACCCCTCTACCCCACTGCATCTCCTCAGTTGGGTGACCCCAACAGCCTCCTCTCCAAGCTCCATCTCCAGATTCACCCCTCCAATCCATCCTCCTCATATGAGCCAGAGGGAGTGTCCACAAAGTCGGATCTAACCATCTGCCTCCCTTAAGCCCTTCAAAGTCCAGTCGTCCTCTATGGTATTCATGGATCTCGGTGACCTGGCCCTGACCGCCCCCCGCCCCTGCCACCTCTGCCCAGTGGACCCTCTCCACCATCCTGCTTCTCCCCTGACAGTGTAGGTGGTGACTCAGGCCATCCCCTCCTCTCTGGAGCCTCAGTTTCCCATCTGTAAATGGGACCCATAAGCCCTTCTGCCTGGTGGCACCCATGAGGGCGATGCAGTCCTCTTGTGGAGGTGTGCCTTGTCTTTGAGAGGGGGTGGGCAGCTGGCTAAGGTTTTCCAAGGGGCAGGTTTTGTAAGGTCAGCTGGTGTGTCTGTTTCGCCCAGGAGGATGCTTGACAAAGGGAGCAGTCCCCCCGAGGTTACACCAAGAATTCCAATTTCCTTCATCCCCTCTCCTGCCCAGGGAGACTGGAGGAGGACAGAATTATTCCCTTGTACAGATGGGAAAACCGAAGGCCCAAGGATCCAGTTCAGCTCTTATAGGCCTGTAGACAGTCCCTGACATCTGATGGGGTAGCAGTGAGTGAAGGTGCTGAGTGGTGGTGGGCTGTTCAGTTCAAATGCCACTGTCTTCTGCCTCAAACCTCCAGGGCTAAATCCCCAACTCCTTGTGGGGCTCACTAGAGCCTGTTCTGACCCCATGCCACCTGCAACTCCATCTCCAGTTCCCTCTCTTTCTGCTCTGGCCACATGGGCTGTCCTCCATCCTCTTACCACAGGGTGTTTGCACGTGCTAGTCCTTTGCCCTGGAGTTCCCTACTTCTCCAAGTTAACATCTACCCAAACTTACGATGCTAGGTCAACTGTCACAACCTGCAGGAAGCTTTTCCTGACTCCCAAGAACAGAACAAACCGGGACCTAAGAGCCCCACAGCTCCTCATAGCACTTGTCCCAGTTGTAATTTTACATTTCTTTGAATGATGGTTTGATATCTGTTTCTTTCTCTAGACTCTAAGTCCTCTAGTGTGTATTCCTCACACCTGACACAGTGCCTGGCACGGAGTAGATCCTCAATAAATGTTTATCAAAAGAATGAAGAAAAATGGCTCTCAGTTCAAACCCTGGAACCCCACATTGAACCTTGGTTTTCTCTTCTCTGAAATGGAAGTGATAACACCAGGGTTAGTGTGGGAAGTACCAATGAATGAAAACTGCTGACACATAGTAGTTTAAGAGTAAAGAGGAGGAGGAGATTGGAGTGGGTAGTCAAGCAAGGCTGTTTAGGGATGAAAGGATTTGAGAGGTGAATGGGTTGTGCGGAAGCCAAGTGGTGGTAGGGACAGGTGGGGAAAGACTTGGAGGTGGGGAGATGGGATGAGAGACAGCAAGGAGACAGCCTGGCTGAGGAATTTCTCTGAATGCTTGGTGACCCTGTTTACTTTTCAGCCTGACCCAGGAAGCCAGGCTTTGGCTGAGAAGACAGGCAGGAAATGCCCACTGCCTCCTGGGACTCCATGTGGGCCACTCAGTCCCAGGCTGGACCTGGCTTGGTGACTGGGTCTGGGACACTGGCCTCTGGAAATGGCTGAAAATAGCAGAGGGGCCCCTGGCGGGCATCTGCAGGGGCACTGACTCAGCCCTTGTGGCAGGAAGCAGCCAGCTCTTGGCTTCTGGTGAAGGGGCTCCTTCCTGGAGCTGCCAACACCCACCTGGCCTCTGGCCCCCAGCTCCCTAGCTGCTGCTGCTCTGGCAGCGGAGAGTGGTTCCTTCAAGTGGGCCTGTTCATTATTCAAGCATTGCCTCTGTGTAAAGCCTGCCGGGAGGCAGAGGTGGCAATAGCTCCTGGCCCTAGCGCAAGGGCAGGACACAAGGGGGTCCGAAGGGAACCTTTGTACCTGCTTGGCTCTGTGCACAGCGGCTGGATAGAGAACCAAGGACTGGACCTGCTGAGGGAAAATAAATGACAGACTTACATTCATTGCTCCTGTGGTGCACACAAGCTTGTCCATACTTATAGAGGAACTTGGGGCTCAGAGAGGGTATGCTATGTATCTGAGGTTGCACAGAAAAGCTGGAGGACTAAATTCCCAAGTACACACAAAGGCTGTGTGGCTCCCAGAGCAGGAGAGGAGGAGAAATTGATGGGGATGTAGCCTGGAACTGCTGCTCTGCTTGGATGTCAGGGACTCTGGGGAAAGGCTGTTTGTCTCTGTTTGACTTTCCTAGGCCCCACCTGGGAGCCCTGGGAAGACTCCTCAGGAGGTGTGTTGAGCCAGAACAGGCAAGAACCATGAGCTCATCTCCCTTGAGGCTCCCAGGAAGTCTGGGAGGAAGGCAAAAGAAAAATGGACAAGCAAGGAGGGAACAGGGAGACAGTAAGGGCCTTTGGGATGGCCCACAAAGCCAAACGTAGATGTGGGGAAGGAAAATGCCACTTGCTGAATATCTACAGTGTGCTGGGTCATTCTTGTGCATTATTCCTCATGAATCCTTCACCAACCCCCTCGGTACCTGAGTATTTCCACTGTACAAAGGAGGACACTAAAGCAGGAATTGGCCCTGGTATGCCTGACACCAAAGTCTGGGGTCTTCACAGGGCACCTTGATAGGTGGGTGCCCAAGTCTGGCCCTTGCTGGACTCATTTTCCTCACAGCAAAAAAGTTGCGGGGGGGGGGCTTCTCCCACTTCCACCTCTGGTCAGTAGGGGGAGACTGTGCTGCATCTGGCTGCAGAGATGGGGAGCTGAGGTTGGGACTGGGCACCCTGGAGAGGAGGCCTCCTTCAAAAGCTCCTGGATTTGGGGAGCCCTCAGCCATGCCTCTGTGATGGCTGAAAGATGGAGGGGGCTTCTGCCTAGATTTGCTAAGGGGCAGCCCTGCTGCTGCCCCAGAACAAAGTTGAAGCTCCTCAATTCAAGGCTCTCACAGCCTCGCTTCCCCATCCTTCCCTGTTTCCTACTTCCAGGTTTCTGCACATACTCCTCTTGGCATGCGATGCCCTTTATGCCCCTTTTTGTCTGGCCAACTCCTACTCATCCTTCAAGCCCTGGCTTCAATGTCACCTCCTCCAGGAGCTCTCCTGAACCTCCTCCATCCCCCAAAGTTCTATCATACCTCCTGCTCTCTCCTTTTTCAAGGGCGGAAATGTGTCTAAATCATCTGTGTCCCCAGTACCTAGCACAGGCCAGGGCATGTAATAGATGCTTAGTGAATAAATGGGCAAAGGGTCTGTCTGGGGTGGGAGTAAGAATGGGGGACCAGGAAGATGAAATACTCATGTACCAGCCCTATTCAGGATAAGGCTGACCAGGAGTCTAGGGGGTGCACTTTACTTCCCAGGGGTGTCATGAGGATCTAGGGAGATCTTGGATGTCAAAGAGCTTTGCAAACTGTAGTGTGCTGTCCCTGGTAGGTCCCTGTACCTCTCAACTTTGCGTTGTTCCACTGATGAGGAGCATGGAGAAGGAAGGTTATAGAATGAGGGAGGGGGCAGACCAGGCCTGGTGAGGGTGGGGTGGTGGTGGCCTCAGCACCCAGAAACAAGGAGTGGGTGGGATTAGGGGGCCTGAGGGCCTGCCTTGGGTCTCCCTTTCCTATGGATCTAACACCATATCAGAGGTGGAACATGGCCCCAGAGATGATGGAAGTCAATGTCCTTCCAAGGAAGGGTAAACTGAGGCTCATAGAGAGGCAGACATTTGTCCAAGGTCATATAGCAGGAGTGGGAGACCACCCTGTGAGCCCTGTCCTCCCAGCATGTCAGGTGTCCTCACCCTGGGCTCAGATTTGGATAGCTGCTTCTCTGATACCTCCTCCCTGGCCCCGCGCTTCCAGCGCTCAGCCTGCACTGCTCCCACACCCCCAGTCGACCCCTAGGCTTAGCAGCCAACAAGCACTGAGCGCCCCCTGGATGGCGTGGTCTGGGCAGCTTCCGACCGGCCTTCTCCTTGACTCACCTCCAGCCGGGAACGGCCCGGCTCAACGACTGCGGACAGGACGCCGCCCGCACAGCGCCACAGCCCCGGACTGTCTCGGCGCGACGAGGCTGCCCTCCTCGGTGCCCCCGGGTGGGGCAGGTCGAGCCCAGTGAGCTATCCCTTTAAGCCCGGGCAGGATGGGAGCTGTCAGCGACAACCGAGGCTAGCGCGGGACGTCGCCGCCCGTCAGGCCGGAGCGAGGAGCCGCAAAGCGAGTGGAGAGCGGAGGGGACGGCGGGGCCGGGGCACAGCGGGTACCCTCGCCGCCCACTGCGCGCTCCAACACTGGGCCGAGCGAGCCGCGGGCGGCACCCAATGTAATGCGGAGAATGTGAGAGGCAGCACAGGGCGACCGGTAGCAGAGGGCGCGGGAGAGGGCGGCGGCAACGTAGCGGGAGAGAAACCGGGAGAGACAGCGGAACAGAATCTGGGGGAGGGGCATGGGTGTAGATAAGGAGAAAGGAGAGGAGGTAAAGAAGGGGCAGTGACAGAAGAGGGGAAAGAACGGAGCGGGAGAGCACGCGGCTGCGGGCGGTGGAGCGGGCGAGGAGGGAGCCGGCGCCTTTGGGTGCGAGCGCCGGGAGCTCAAGTTGGGCGCCCTGGCTGGGGTTCAGGCTGGGAGCGTGGTCGCGGCCCGGTGGGGCATGGTGGCACAGCAGGGACGCCCGAGGGGTCCCCTCTGGGAGCCCCAAGGGACCTGAGACGAGGCCAGCCCGGAAGGGGTCGCAGGTTCGCTCAGCGAGCGCTGCGGGCCGCGCTCTGGGGACTCCGGGGGGGCCGGGGCACCCGGCTCTTTGTGATCGCCCCAGGAGGGCGAGTGGGGCGTGCAGGGCCGGGGGTGCGGCGCTGGGGTGCACGCGCGCGCGAGAGTGTGAGCACCCCGGAGGGTGGGAGCGCGCGTTAGGGATTCTGCTGGCATCGCAGCGTGGAGGGCAGGAGGCAGGAGCGGGCGCGCAGGGGAACGCGGGGGCCCTCCCGCGCACAGGCGCGCGCACGCGCGCACACACACGCCCTCCCTGCTCGCTGATGCTGCTGCTGCCATCATCTCGGAGCCGAGCCCTGCGGAGCGGGAAGCAGAACTAGAGCGGGAAGCGGAACGGAGGCAAGCCCGGGATGCGGCCCTGGAGTGGAGCTGCGCGCGGAATGCGCGCCCGGAACGGTGAGTGTGGCCAAGCGGGGACGCTGCGGCGAGGCCAGGATCGAAGGACGCAGGCCGGGAGCTGGGGTGTCTGCCCGCCAGCGGCGCCGCGTGCGCGGCCTCTGATTGGGCGGGAGTCTCGAGGTTGGATGTTGGGTGCGCGCCCGTGTTGCGTGCACGCGCGGACCGGGAAGGGGCGCGCCCGGCACCCCAGTCGGAGGCCGCGCGCCCACCCGCTGCGCGGCCCCGCCTAACCCTCGCAGGCCGCCAGAACCCCCGCGACTTGGAGCAACTTTGTATGTGCGATGAGAGGACAGAGGGGCTTTAATGGTGGCACTTCGGCCTTTCTTTCCTGAGGAGAGAGCGCGATGGAGGAATGGGGCGGGGCGCGGGTTGTGCCGCCCGGTGGACGGAGGCATGCGTCTCAGCCACTCCGTCGGTACAACAACCGGCTCTCGGGGACATCTGCCCAGCCCTGCGGCGCCGCGCTGGAGTCGCTCCGGGCGCTGGCCTCCTGTGAAGCCCTGCCAGGGTCGGGCGGGACCCCGCAACGATAGCTTCCAGGTCCGGGGGCCGCGAGGTCGTCTTTGCAGCCAGTCTGAGGACACGAGGCTTGAGGTGGGGGAGTGGGGAGACGTACCTAGTGTGTATGTGTGTGTGTGTGTCTCCGCGCCTTCTGCTCCGTGGAACAGGCGGCTGGAAGAAGGGAATTGCCCAAAATGTGCAGAGCTTCCCAGAGGCTGGGGATTGGAAGGGACACCGCTAGGCGCCCCAGGCCTGGTGTCCCACCATCCCTGCTTTGCTTGGAGCCATGCTACTTCGTGCCTCATTCGGTGTGATGAGGCTGTGCCGTGTCCCCAATCCCCAATCCTGAGTCTTCTCTCAGACCCCTTTCCTGTGGTGGCTGCCTCAGGGAACTTCCTAGGACTCTCCTCCACCCAAACGCCAACTGTGCCCCTGCAGTAGAAGATGGGATGGAGAGATGTTTCCAGGATCGTGTCCCTCACTGGGAGGGAACCCTGTGTCCCCAGGAGTAAGAGGCTCAAGGAAGTTCAGAAGTCAGGCCTCCTGCATGCCCCTCCCCTTTACCAGATCCTCTCTGCTTCCAGGGCAGGTTCCTCCTCCTCTAGGAAGCCTTCTCTTATTGCTCCCGAATCCTTGTGTCCAGCTTGGGCTTCTGGGTTGGAGCAGCTGGTTTCCTTAGCAGCCCTTGTTCATATGCCCTCTTTCTTGGCACTGTGCCTATCAGGGTGTGGGGTCAGAAGTCTTATTGTAGGTGGTGGGTGGAGGGATGTGATGCTGGACTATTCAGTATCTACCTGGGTCTCTAAAATATGGTAATGTGTTGTTTGATCAGTGTTCAGGCTTCCATTTTCCCTCTGGAATCCCTTTGCCACCTTGGCAGAATGCAGGGTCCATGGCATGCTTCCTCTCCATTTCACAGAGGAGATGGAGTTAGGAGAACTCCAGTCTCAGGGTGGCCCCTTCCTGTGAAGGTATCCTTTAACCCTGGTCTTTGGCAAGGTAAGGGGGGGGGCAGGGAGGGCACCCAGCCCTCTTTATTGACCTGGCACCAGGGCTCTGGGTGCCTGTGGCTGGAGGGTCTCCCTAGGGCAGCTATCCTGCTGCCTGCGGCCAATACCTTCCCCGAGGGGCAGGGAGGTGGACACAGCCACTCCCAGCCTGATTCTCCCTGACTTGACTTTTGGTACCTCTTGACCCCAGCCTCATTAACCTTAATTTCCTAGATTTGGGGCCATTGTCTGCCAGGGCTCTGCATGACTGTTTGTAAATCCTCAGTACTGGGATGTTTGTATCATTCTGGGGATCAGGGAGGTTTCCCTACCCCCAGTCTGGCACTCTAGGCTAGGCCCTGGCGTTGTCCTCCTGTTTGGGCCTTGGAACCCTTCCCACTCTCCTGAGATCTCCATCCTGGAGACAAAGAGCTCACCCTTAGGGGAATGGAGTCCTCAGAGTTCTAAATGTGCATTGCGGGGAGGGGGCCTGGTGGCTATTGAGACCACATAAGGCACAGGAGGCTAGAGTAGCTCTCAGCCTCAAGCAGGCCTCTTTGACCCCTTCAGTCCTGATGGCAGCCCAGACTCATCCCCAGGGCGCTCAGGCCCTTGGAGGCCTCCTCTGGGAGGTAGAGGGGAGAACTCTTGCCCAGGAGTGACCAAAACTCCTTCTGGGGCAGCGGGATGGGGTGGATCTGCTGGACCTTGTGGTGGCTCCTTCAGCCTCTGCTGGCTTCACTCTCAGGCAGCCTCTTGCTGACTCAGTCTTTCTTAGTTCTGTCTCTCTACCCCCCCCCCTTTGTCCCCTGGGGCTTCCTGAGTTCTGGACTTTTGCCTCCTGAGTGTTGATTGATGCTCTCGTTGACACCCAGGTGGTGGGAGCATGGTCAGATGCCTGTGTGGCCCCACCCCTGTCATCAAGGCCTGCTTGAACCCCTGCTCTGGTTCTTTTGCCCCTGCCTCCCCAATCCTACTCCAGCAGGATGAGCCCTCCATTTGGGACCTCAAGCCATGGGGAGGGAGAGAGCAGGAGCCTCTTTGGCCCCTGGTCTGTGCTGTCGGGTGAAAATCCCAACTAGGTGCTCCCAGCCCCCATTGGCTGCCCTTTTAGATTGACAGACACCCGCCCCTCAAACCTGACTAGTAAGGGGTAGTGTCTAGGGTGGCCCCCTTAATTTTCCTCTCAGCCAGGCCCTGACCTTGCCATGTTTGTGTTTTAAATTATGAAAATATTACATTCTAACAAATTCAATGATGAGAAGTTGTTGAGTGGGCTGGGCCTTAGGGCGACTTGAGGGAGGAAAGAATCCTGACCCCTCAGGCCTCCTTTTGGGGGAAATGAGGGCAAGCCATCCTGGCCAATCAGAGCCTCTTCTGTGCACTTCCGGGGCCCAGATGTCTGCTCCCAAGAACCATGCCTAGCTTTGCTCCTCACTGCCTGGAGCCCCTACTTGGGGCTCACTCCATGTTTGGGGGTATCTCCTGGTTAGAGGCCTGGGCTGACTACTAGGGAGACTGCTGACAAGCCTGGGCCCCTCCCTGGGTGGACTCTGAAAGGGGACATAGACACTGCCCCACAGCCTGTGTGAGGCAGAGTGGGCTGGGCAGCTGCCAGGTAGGGAGAGGGGTGGGCAAAGTGCTGTGTCAGATGGACTGGGACCCTGGTGCATTTAGACCTGCACAGATGTTCATGCACTAGGTAGATGCTCAGTAAATGTGCTGAATAAATGAGTGAATGGAGCATGTGAATGAATGGGGCTTTCCAGCAGATTGCACAGCATTAGCAAGGGCACGGAGGTGGGACGCAGCAGCCATGGGTGGAGCGTGTTTGCGATGGAGTAGTCCATGCAGGGCCACATCAGCGCCCAGCCGGTTGGCACAGGACGGAGGAGGACCTTGAGTGCCTGCCTGAGGAGGGTGGGCTGATTCTGTATTCAGAGGTTGCAGGGTTGAAGTTCTGGAGGGGCAAGATCAGATTTGCAATTGAAGCTGCTCCCTCTGGTGGTCGTGGGAGGGGTGACCAGGAGAGCCAGAGGTAGGGAGGAAGTGCTGAGGCTGCTCTGGGAATCCAGGCTGGTGATGAGGGCAGTGGCAGGGACAGGTGCCTTCACCAGGATGGCCAGGGGACTATGTGTGGGTCCCCCTCCGATGGATGATGGAGAGATTTCGGTCTAGGTGGGGAGCCAGGTGGGGCGATGGAGGCTTTCAGAATTGGGCAGGTCCTTGGGCTTCACCACGCCCACCACTTGGGTATATGGCAGGTGTCCTGGAGTTGTAAGATGTAGCCTTTAGTATGGGCCTCCCAATGTCGCACTTGAGGTGGCCCCTTGGGCCTCAGTTTCTATGTCTGTAAAAATGGATGTTTATTTGTTTCCCTGGAGACCTGGAGTGAGTTTGGGTGGAAGTCCGAGACCTCGGAAATGAGACAAAGGGAAGAGGTAGAGGATTGGTCAGCACTGTTATTTGACAGGGAAGAGTTTGAGGCCAGAGGTGCAGTGACTCTCACAAGGTCTGAAAGCAAGTTGGGGGCAGGGTTTTCCTGGCTTCGCCTGTGGTCTGCTGGGCAGGGATTGGGCAGTGGCTGGGGTCTCTGCAGAGGACATCCTCAGGCAGTTGCCTCGGCAGTCCAGCTGTCAGGGAGCATATGGGGCCATATGGCCACATCAGGGGAGGCGCCAGCTGCTGAAAGGGGGATAGCGGCTGCCACCCTGGCCTTCTGGATCTATGTAGGCACTGCCAGCCACCAGGGTCAGGGCGAGAGGAGGACCAAATGGAACCTCGGTGTCCAGGTTGGTTTGGATGTGGAGGTTGGGCCTTGGCAGGTGGCCCAGTTCCAGCACCCATCTGCCAGGGCAGCTGGACAGGCGGCTCCATGCCCAGGACTGATTCAATTAGCTCAAGACCAGCTGTGCCAGCCATCCTCCCACTCCCCACTCAGCTCTGATGGCCCTGCTGGTCCACAGGTCATGGGGTGGCACTTTGCATCTGATGCCTGGGTCTGGGCCTCAGTGGAGTATGTGTATTTGACATGCAGCCTCACCCGAGAACTTTAAGTATTTGGGGGTATGAACATGGGCCCCCTGAGCTAGCCTTTCATGATCAAAAGGGCCTACCCTTGGCTGCCATCTGGAAGTGAGCTTGAATCCTGGCTCAGCCACCTCTGAGCTGGGTGAGCTCGGGCAAGTCACTTCACTTTTCTGAGCCTCCAGTTTCCTCATCTGTATCTGGAAGAATGATACTTCACCCGTTGGGCTGTCATTAGCATGCTTTGAAATGGTACCTGGGAAGCATGCACTAGTCTGGTACACTGAAGAACCTTAGTAAATGTTAGTGCACGTTGCTCTTTGCTGGACAGGGAGGCAAGGCCTATTGGAGTTTCAGTGTCCAGGCTGAAGTTCGGAGTAACCTCGTTGTTATTTTCCAGGACAAAATTTGCTTTATAATTGTCCATAAGTTTTTACATGCCTTTCCTCGTGTAGACCTCACAACAGTTCTGTAGAGTAGACTGAGAGCCACCGCTCCATTTCATAGGCGACGAACCTGGGAAGTGAGTCCCAGAGTTGCATGGGGAGCTGGGCCTGACCCTACCTCTGGACTCCTGGCCCAGGACTCTTGCTCTATGGGTATGCTCCCCAAACTTCCAGGGGTGGAGGCCTGTCTAGACCAAGCCTGGGGACTACAGAGATTCCCCGCCCAGCCCTGTCTCTGTCATAGGTGCAAGGGTAGTCTGTCATGGTGACAAGCAGCCAATCCCAGCAGGGTGGTATGGGAGACTCAGTGAAGAAGCATTTGCTGCATTTCTAGGGCTGCCCAGCCCTGAGTAGGGGTGGGAGGGGTGCCAGGTAGTAGGGAGGAGTGGGCCTTCACCTCCTGGGCAGCTCTGGGCCATGCCAACGCAAGCAGGGCTCAGCCTTCTGGTCAGGGTGGGAGACCACTGGGCTCCACCCCTGACGAGCTGGGTGACTTTGGCCAGGCCACTGTGTCCCTCTTTGAGCTTAGCTCCCCTCTTTGTAAGCTGGAGATAATTATCTCCCTGCCTGCCTCACAAGGCTGTTCTTGAGGCTCTACTATAAATGTATATTTTTATACAAACATGATATT